TTCGTCGCTAAGTGAGGAGCATACTATAATGGTAGTGGGTGTGTGTCAACTATCTTTGATATTGTTTTAATGTCACCTTTGCACCATTTATAACATTTCTGGTATATTTTTAAATGTTTATACAGTAGTATACTGTATATTTCAATAAACAGAATAAGAGGAAATCAGCTCCAATATACATTATTCAGGCATGCATACTGGTCAGAGAGCCCATCGTAAGTCCGAGGTGTTGGTAAACGAGTACATGTACGTCGCTAAGTGAGGACAGACTGTATGTCTTATGGCCCCTCAAGGAAGGTTCCTTGATGCTGGTGAGGGGCTCTTGATCTAGGGAACTGGATCTGTGCTCCAGTTCCCTGAATTAACACTGAATACCTTCCATTCCCCCCACAGGTGCTGTATAATCATCCGGGTTTAGCGCTTCCCCCTGTATTTCTTGTGAGAAATACAGCCACTTTAAAACAATAATTCTGAAATGGTAGAGAATTTTACAGAATTATGCATGCACAAAGTTGTGGTCTGGGGGCAGTTTATGCATCAGCAATTTTTGCCCACTTTGGGTCCTATATTAAGTTGATTCTGTTGCTCCATTCTATCAGTCTCTGCTATTTTGCTAGTATGCCTTCGGTTCTATCAATTAAGCACAAGAACTGCCCATTCTGTAAAGTTCACAGAAGTCAGTAATTTGGCCAGTTTTACACAAAAATTAAAAAATACCAATTTAAAAATAGTGCAAAATAGACAATGTAGACATTCTTAGCACAAAAAAATATTCCCTCTGTTCATTAATCACATCTCCAGGCCTCTCCTATATTACACTTGCCTTCCAGTTTGAATTCATAATCACACAAAAAAATAGATTTACTCTATTTCCTGGATAATAAAATATAATCAGGAATGATTGATCATGGTTTATGGCATCCCAATAATTGAATCAGACCTTTTGAAAACCCATAAAACAGACCAGAGGGAGGTTGTTTGAAAATTTGCAACAATCAAATATTTTGGCTACTTTGAGCCCAATTTCAAGTTACTTCTCCTAAAACTAACTAAAATCATATCTATTTCAGTAGTATGTCTTCAGTTCTATCAAATGCTTCCAGGACAGCCAGTAAAACCATGAAGGCCATTCTAAAAAACACCTAAGTTGCTGTTTTAAGTCAAACACACGGTCAGTTTTGCTTTTCCCATTATAAACTGCATGGGGTAGGATTTTTTTATAATGTGCACACTGTGCAGACCCAGTTTCTCATATCTATCCCAAAATTTACCACTCACAGCTTATCTGAGTGAGCTGAGCTCATGATGTAGTACTTCGTAAGGGACCCTTTCCTGTGAAGTACAGTAGTTCTATGTGACAGCTAGTGAAAGGGTTAATGTACTAGAGGATGGTGTAGAGAATAGTATATACTGGGTAAAGCACATGCATTTTATTTTGTAATAGTACAGGCAGGCCCCGCTTTACAGCACTTCACTTTACAGCATTTTGCTAATGCAGCAGTTTTCATTTATACTCATTCTTCATTTATTCAGACTTCTTTCAACAAACCGGCCGTATCCCACTGAGGCAGGGTGGCCCAAAAAGAAAAACAGAAGTTTCTCTTTTTAAATTTAGTAATTTATACAGGAGAAAGGGTTATTAGCCCCTTGCTCCCGGCATTTTAGTCACCTCTTACAACACACATGGCTTACGGAGGAAGAATTCTGTTCCACTTCCCCATGAAGATAAGAGGAAATAAACAAGAACAAGAACTAGAAAGAAAATAGCAGAAAACCCAGTGGGGTGTGTGTATATATATGCTTGTACATGTATGTGTAGTGTGACCTAAGTGTAAGTAGAAGTAGCAAGACGTAGCTGAAATCTTGCATGTTTATGAGACAGAAAAAAAGGACACCAGCAATCCTACCATCATGTAAAACAATTACAGGCTTTCGTTTTACACTTACTTGGCAGGACAGTAGTACCTCCCTGGGCGGTTGCTGTCTACCAACCTACTACCTGGAGGTTATTCCGGGGATCAACGCCCCCGCGGCCCGGTCCATGACCAGGCCTCCCTAGGATTTATTCAGAACATCCTACAATAAATATAGTATTCTTTCTTCTTTCAACACACTGACTGTATCCCACTGAGGTGGGGTGGCCCAAAAAGAAAAACGAAAGTTTCTCTTTTTAAATTTAGTAATTTGTACAAGAGAAGGGGTTACTAGGCCCTTGCTCCCGGCATTTTAGTCGCCTCTTACAACACACATGGCTTACAGAGGAAGAATTCTGTTCCAGGTTTCCATGGAGATAAGAGGAAATAAACAAGAACAAGAACTAGAAAGAAAATAGAAGACAACCCAGAAGGGTTGGGTATATATATGCTTGTACATGTATGTGTAGTGTGACCTAAGTGTAAGTAGAAGTAGCAAGACGTACCTGAAATCTTGCATGTTTATGAGACAGAAAAAAGGACACCAGCAATCCTACCATCATGTAAAAAAATTACAGGCTTTAATTTTCACTCACTTGGCAGGACGGTAGTACCTCCTTGGGCGGTTGCTGTCTACCAACCTACTACCTAGGATTTATTCAGACATCCTACAATAAATATATTCACCATTCACTATAAGCTAAGGATAAAAATATTTTAAGGTAAGTAATGTGTGTACTGTACATGCATTTTTTAGGCCTAGCTCTATTGTTCTCTTAATATATGATAGTGCAAACATGTTATCAGGCTTTTATTTATTTATTTATTTATATTTTTTAGTAACACATCGGCTGTTTCCCACCAAGGCAGGGTGACCTGATAAAGAAAAACTTTCATCATCATTCACTCCATCACTGTCTTGCTAGAGGCATGTTTACACTACAGTTATAAAACTGCAACATTAACACCCCTCCTTCAGAGTACTGTACTTCCTGTACTGTACTTCCCATCACCAGGAATCAAGTCTGGATTGCTGGTTTCCCTGAATCCCTTCATAAATGTTACCTTGCTTTCACTCCAACAGCACGTCGAGTCCTAAAAACCATTTGTCTCCATTTGCTTCTATCTAACACGCTCGTGCATGCTTGCTGGAAGTCCAAGTCCCTTGCACACAAAACCTCCTTTACCCCCTCCCTCCAACCTTTCCTAGGCAACCCCTAACCCCGCCTTCCCTCCACTACAGATTTTTACACTCAGTCATTCTTTCATTCCACCCTCTCTACATGTCCAAATCATCTCAGTAGCCCCTCCTCAGCCCTCTGGATAATAGCTTTGGTAATCCTGCACCTCCTAATCTCCAAACTACAGATTCTCTGCATTATATTCACACCACACATTGCCCTCAGACATGGAATCTCCACTGCCTCCAGCCTTCTCCTTGTTGCAACATTCACCACCCTTGCCTCGCACCCATACAAGAGCGTTGTTATAACTATACTCTCATATACGTGTATTCCCCTCTTTGCTTTCAGGGATAAAGTTCTTTGTCTCCACAGACTTCTCAGTGCACCATTCATCTTTTTTTCCCTTGTCATTCAATGATTCACCTCATCTTTCATAGACCCAACAGCTGACATGTCCACTCCCAAATCTCTGAATACATTCACCTCCTCCGTACTCTCTCCCTCTAATTTGATATCCAATCTTCCATTACCTAATTTTTTTGTTATCTTCATCACCTTACTCTTTCCTATATTCACTTTTAATTCCCATCTTTTGCATACCCTACCAAACTTATCAACCATCCTCTGCAACTTTCTCTTCAGAATCTCCCAAAAGCACAGTGTCATCGGCAAAGAGCAACTGTGACAGCTCCCATTTTGTGTTAGATTCTTTATCTTTTAACCCCACACCTCTTGACAACACCCGATCATTCACTTCTCTTACAACTCCATCTATAAATATATTGAACAACCATGGTGACATCACACATCCAAGTCTAAGGCCTACTTTTACTGGGAAATAATCTCCCTCTCACCTACATACTCTAACCTGAGCTTCACTATCCTCATAAAGACTCTTCACTGCTTTCAATAATCAGGCTTTTATATGCACTTGAGAGTGAAAAAAAAGAAAGAAAAAAAAAAAAGGCTATGATTCACTTTACAGCAGTAGTTCAGAACCTAACCTGCTGTATATTATGTCTTGATGAGGGGAAAAAAAGGTGAGTGGTGCACTGAGGACTCTGTGGAGACAAAGAATGTTATCCATGGAAGCAGAGAGGGAAATGTATGAGAATATAGTGGTAGTAATGCTTTATATGGATGTGAAGCATGGGTGGTGAATATTGCAACAAAGAGAAGGCTAGAGGCAGTGGAGATATTGTGTCTGAGGGCAGTGTGTGGTGTGAATATTATGCAGAGAATCTGTAGCTTGGAGATTAAAAGGAGGTGTGTGTTTTCTAAAAGTATTGCCCAAAGGGCTGAGAAGGGGTTGTTTAGGTGGTTCGGACACTTAGAAAAGATGGAATGAAACAAAATGACTTGGAGGGCTTATAAATCTGTAGTGGAGGGAAGGCAGGGTAGGGGTCATCCTAGGAAGGTTGGGCAGAGGGAGTAAAGGAGGTTTTGTGTGCAAGGGGCTTAGACTTTCAGCAAGCATGTGTGAGAGTGTTAGATAGGAGCAAGTGGAGGCAAATGGCTTTTATGGCTTGACGTGTTGTTGGAGTGTGAGCAAAGTAACATTTATGGAGGGTGTCAGGGAAACCAGTTAGCCGGACTTGAGTCCTGGAGGAAGGAAGTACCATGCCTGTGCTCTGAAGGAGGGGTGGAGATACGCTGCAGGTTTTGGACTGTAGTGTAGGCATTCCTCTGGCAAGACAGGGATGGAGCGAGTGATGATGAAAGCGTTTTTTTTTTTGTCACCCTGCGTCGGTGGGAAACAGCCAGTGTGTTAATAAAAAAATATCTTTTGAATTCCTTTTTCCAGATAGAGGTCATACCTGATTACCTCCCATTTCCCAGGTGCTGTATGACTCTTTGAGTTTAATATTACTCATGAGTTTAATTATTATTATTATTATTCCAGATATTGAAGTAACTGCAAAGCGAGGTACCCTCAAATACCTGCTACAGAGAGAAGAATATTTGAAGGCTAAGGCAAAGGAAATTGAAGCAGAAGATGACTTTTTTGATGGGGACGAGATATTTAAAAAAAAGAAAAATAAGGTTGGTTTTATGTGCAGTTTATACCATCCATCAATGAGACTTGAATATACCGAGTTTGACAGCAACACTGCATCAGCTTCTTTGTTTTGTTATACAATACAGTAAATCTTTGATTTAGTGGTTCTTCATTTAATGGACTTGAGAAATGCTGAACAAAATTGCTGAATCAATTGATTCAGCAAAGCAAACCCCTTGGTTGTACAACTTACTGTTGTTACGATCGCAGCAAAACAGCCTTCCATCCACCACCATTGCCATTTTGACCACCTGGTCCTTCCTAGTAATCCATTAAATAGATGGTGTACTGTTACTGTTGTTCAAGGTTAGGGAAATATGTCATTCAACAAGTCATAATTAAAGAAGCTAAGGGATTAGTTTTAGAATACTATGTATTCTAAGAGAATAGGGTAACATAATTTATCAAACAGCTTTCAGCTAGCTCTATTTTCTGGAGACATAGAAATAATTTGTGTTGGTGTATAATTAGTTGATGAGGACATAGAAATAATTTGTGTTGGTGTATATAGTTGATGAGTGCGCTTTCTGCTGGAATAGGAAAACTCGAAACAGGTCACAGATAAATCACTAGTAAATGTATTCCCAGAATATTGTTAGACCCGTTTTCTTTGTGATCTTTATAGTGGCACTTTTTCAGAAATACAAAATGGATCTTAGGCATGAAAAAAATAAATATAGTTGCTGAATGTAGAGTAGTTTTTTTTGTCAATAACTTCTTAACACACTTTATTTTTTTTGAGACAAACTGTCAAGATAAAGAAATTGTTAAGAAATAACTACAGTACAGTAATTCATTATGAAAGTAAAAATTATACTGTATTAATATATTTATTTTTTATAACAGCTAAGTAATCTTCTTGTCGCATCCTCACATGATGACACCTTAATTATCAAGACTCCACAAAACAAAGGTAAAAAGATTCCCGACACAATCATTACTCCACGAACTGAACTAATGGGTCGACTGGCAGCTGTGACTCCCTCCACAGAGCCCTTTACACCATCCACAAGCTTCCCAGCAAGTATCTCTAAACCTGCACATCGAAAGTAAGTAGCAAAGGCACTTGTGCCCTGGTTGTTCATGGCTTTTATGAAAACAATATTTGCTGTATGTATTTGGTTTTAAGATAAAAAAAATTGTTTTGTTTGTTGCTTTTACATTGCTGTTTAATATTGTACTAAGCATATATATGTATAATAATTTGTAATGTGTTTATATATATATATATATATATATATATATATATATATATATATTATGTAGGTAGTAGGTTGGTAGACAGCAACTGCCCAGGGAGGTACTACCGTCCTCCCAAGTGAGTGTAAAACGAAAGCCTGTAATTGTTTTACATGATGGTAGGATTGCTGGTGTCTTTTGTCTGTCTCATAAATATGCAAGATTACAGGTAAGTCTTGCTACTTCTACTTACACTTAGGTCACACTACACATACGTGTACAAGCATATATATACACACCCCTCTGGGTTTTCTTCTATTTTCTTTCTAATTCTTGTTCTTGTTTATTTCCTCTTATCTCCATGGGGAAGTGGAACAGAATTCTTCCTCTGTAAGCCATGCGTGTCGTAAGAGGCGACTAAAATGCCGGGAGCAAGGGGCTAGTAACCCCTTCTCCTGTATATATTACTAAATTTAAAAGGAGAAACTTCAGTTTTTTCTTTTGGGCCACCCCGCCTCGGTGGGATACGGCCGGTGTGTTAAAAGAAAGAAAAGAAGATTATATATATATATATATATATATATATATATATATATATAATATATATTACAGTGGAACCCCCGCATAACGGACGCCTTGCATAACGGACAATCCGCATAGCGGACGCTTTGATCGCTAAAATTTTGCCCCGCATAGTGGACAAAAACCCGCTCAGCGGCCTTCGTCCGAGACGCGTCCAATGTGCGGCCTGAGCCACGCTCACATGTTCCGCGGGTGGCATTGTTTACCCAGCCAGCCTCCGCGGTAACATCCAAGCATACAATCGGAACAATTTTGTATTATTACAGTGTTTTTGGTGATTTTTTTTCTGGAAAATAAGTGACCATGGGCCCCAAGAAAGCTTCTAGTGCCAACCCTACAGCAATAAGGGTGAGAATTACTATGGAGATGAAGAAAAAGATCATTGATAAGTATGAAAGTGGAGTGCGTGTCTCCGAGCTGGCCAGGTTGTATAATAAACCCCAATCAACCATCGCTACTATTGGTGGTACAAGCTGCTGCTGCTGCTGTATCACCGTCAGCTGCTGCTGCACTGTCAGCTGCTGCTGCTGTACCACCGTCAGCTGCTCCTGCTGCTGTAGTACCGTCTGCTGCTACTGTAGCATCATCTGCTGCTGCTGTAGCATCGTCTGCTGCTGCTGTAGCATCGTCTGTTGCTGCTGTAGCATCGTCTGTTGCTGCTGTACCACCGTCAGCTGCTGCTGCTGCTGTAGCATCGTCTGCTGCTGCTGCTGCTGTAGCATCGTCTGCTGCTGCTGCTGCTGTAGCATCGTCTGCTGCTGCTGTAACATCGTCAGTTGCTGCTGTAGCATCGTCTGCTGCTGCTGTAGCATCGTCTGTTGCTGCTGTAGCATCGTCTGCTGCTGTGCTGCTGTAGCATCGTCTGCTGCTGCTGCTGCTGTAGCATCGTCTGCTGCTGCTGTAACATCGTCAGCTGCTGCTGCTGCTGCTGTAGACACCGTTGTTGGTGTGGCTTATTGAGAATACCAAGAAACAATTAACCCCAGAGGATTTGCCACCAGGATAGCCCAAAAAAGTCAGTGTCATCGAAGACTGTCTAACTTATTTCCATGGGGTCCTTAATCTTGTCTCCCAGGATGCAACCCACACCAGTCGACTAACACCAGGTGAACAGGGAAAATGCCTGGAACTAGTGCTCATATTGGTGAATTTAGAGCCAGCAAAGGTTGGTTTGAGAGATTTAAGAATCGTAGTGACATACACAGTGTGATAAGGCCTGTTCTGGAAGAAAATACCAAACAGGACCTACAGTACTCAGGAGGAAAAGGCACTCCCAGGACACAGTGTCTCATCAGTCATTGCTGCATCTTCAATAAAGGTAAGTGTCATTTATTCTTCATTTAGTAGAGTAGTACATGCACAATATATATTGTGCATGTACTACTCTACTATTGTGCATGTATCCTTCTCTTTGTGTGTAGGAAAAGTATTTTTTTAAAGTGGAAAAAATTTTTTTTTTAAAACTTTTGGGTGTTTCAGGGATTAATTTGTTTTCCCAAATTTTTCCCTTATGGGGAAAATTCATTCACATTTCGAACATTTCGCTAACAGCCAGCCCCTTTTGCACGGATTAAGGTCGCTATGGGGGGGGGTCCACTGTTAATATATATATATTATATATATATATATATAAGTGGCCCCGGGGGTTTAAACGTTTTTTTAATCCGTGAAAGGGAGGGCTCATCTTTATGCGAAATAATCTTTTATGCGAATGTTTTTTCCCCCAAAGGGAAAAAGGGAAATAAAATTAATCCGTGCAAAAACCCCCAAAGGGTAAAAAAAAAAATTTTTTTTCCCACATGAAATTTTAAATTTTAATTTACACACAAACTAAAAAAGGGCATCACAATTAAATGACACTTATTTTATTGAAGATCTGGTGATGATTGATGGGATGGGGGAGGGGAGAGATTACCCTTCTTACTGTTTAAAAGGGGGAATCCCCTTCCATTGGGACTTGAGTAGCAATTTCCTTTTCTGGGGTTACTTCCCTTCTTCTTTTAAGGGCCCACAGGCCCGGGCTTGAGAGCCCACTGGCCTCTTCGCACAAAAAATTTCTGTCAAAGCTCTGTACCTCCCGTTCCTTCAAGGGCTTTTCCCCAAAATGGGCCCTAACATTGTCCCTTTAAAAAGTCACCAGCACGGCTTGCAAAAGCTGTGGGCAGGGGGATTTTCATCTATAAAGGTTTGCAGGTTTTAAACCCCCCGTGCACAACCCTTTTCCCTTTAAAATTTTTTAAAGTAGGCCAATTTGGGTTCCACAACTGGGAAAAGGCTTTTTCGGGTTACCCCAAACCCCCTTTAAAAACTTTTTTAATTTCCCTACTAATTCAACCCTTTTTCACAGGGTTGGGGAAATAGAAACTTTCTTGGGGCCCAGGTCACTTATTTTCCCCGAAACAGCCCCCCGAAAACACTTTTAAAAATACGAAATATTCCCCAGTGTATGCTTGGAAAGTTTCCGCGGAGGGTGGTGGGAAACCCAAAGGGAAAGGGCCCGGGACATTTTGAGGGCACATTGGAGGTCCCCGGACGAAAAAAACGGTAAAGGGGGGTTTTTTAAAACGGGATGCGCGGCAAAAAAATTTTTCGAAAAAAAGTAATGGTATGGGGGAAAAAAAAACCCCTATGTGATGCCCTCGTTATGGGGGGTCCCCTGTAAAATATATAAAATATTTTATTTTTATATATATATATATTTTATTTTATAATTTTTATATAAAATATATTTTATTTTTATATATATATTTTTATAAAATTTTTATATTTTTATTTAAGGGGGGGGAGTTTAAAAACCCTTTTCCTGTTTATATTACTAAATTTTTAAAGGAGAAAATTTTGGGTTTTTTTTTTTTGGGCCACCCTGGGCCCCGGGGGGAAACGGCCGGGGTTTTTGAAAGAAAAAAAGAAAAAAAAAAAAATATTATTTTTTATTATATAAAATTTTAATTTATTAAAATATATATTTATATATTAAAATTTTTTTTTTTTTTTTTTTTTTTTTTTTTTTTTTTTCAACAAGTCGGCCGTCCTCCCACCGAGGCGGGGTGACCCAAAAAGAAAGAAAATCCCCAAAAAGAAAATACTTTCATCATCATTCAACACTTTCACCACACCACACATTATCACTGCTTTTGCAGAGGGTGCTCAGAATACAACATTTTTAGAAGCATATACATATAAAGATACACAACATATCCCTCCAAACGCCAATATCCCAAACCCCTCCTTTAAAGTGCAGGCATTGTACTTCCCATTTCCAGGACTCAAGTCCGACTATAAGAAAAAACCGTTTCCCTAAAATCCCTTCACTAAATATTACCCTGCTCACACTCCAACAGATCGTCAGGTCCCAAGTATCATTCGTCTCCATTCACTCCTATCTAACACCTCATGCACGCTTGCTGGAAGTCCGAGCCCCTCGCCCACAAAACCTCCTTTACCCCCTCTTTCCAACCCTTTCGAGGACGACCCCTACCCCTCTTTCCTTCCCCTATAGATTTATATGCTTTCCATGTCATTCTACTTTGATCCTTTCTCTCTAAATGACCAAACCACCTCAACAACCCTCTTCTGCCCTCTGACTAATGCTTTTATTTATATATATATAATATATATATATACATATATATATATAATATATATATATTATCCTAGGTAGTAGGTTGGTAGACAGCAACCGCCCAGGGAGGTACTACCGTCCTGCCAAGTGAGTGTAAACGAAAGCCTGTAATTGTTTTACATGATGGTAGGATTGCTGGTGCCCCTTTTTCTGTCTCATGAACATGCAAGATTTCAGGTACGTTTTTGCTACTTCTACTTACACTTAGGTCACACTACACATACATGTACAAAACACATATATACACACCCCCCTGGGTTTCTTCTATTTTTTTTCTAGTTCTTATTCTTGTTTATTTCCTCTTATCTCCATGGGGAAGTGGAACAGAATTCTTTCCCCCGTAAGCCATGCGTGTTGTAAGAGGCGACTAAAATGCCGGGGGCAAGGGGCTAGTAACCTCTTCTCCTGTATATATTACTAAATGTAAAAGGAGAAACTTTCGTTTTTCCTTTTGGGCCCCCCCCGCCTCGGTGGGATACGGCCGGTGTGTTGAAAGAAAAAAAGATATATAATATATATATATATATATATATATATTATATATATATTATATAATGTATAAAATATATATTTTTTTTTTTTTTTACACACCACCAAGGCAGGGTGGCCGAAAAAGAAAAACTTTCACCATCATTTCCCTATATATATTAAAATATGGAAAGTAGGATTT